AGAGAGAGAGAGAGAGAGAGAGAGAGAGAGAGAGAGAGAGAGAGAGAGAGAGAGAGAGAGAGAGAGAGAGAGAGAGAGAGAGAGGGCGCAAATAACTGAGACGAAAGGGACAATTCTACTAATCATGTGGTTGTCCACCGGTGAGGTAGGGCACACAGACAAGTATACTCTCCTGGATGCATCCGACACTAATTATAGCCACATGCAGTACCGATGTCCTGGAAAAGTGAACGGGAGCAGACGGATGTTTATGACCTTATTGTTTCTTTTTTTTTTTTATAACTGTCTGATTCATTCGTTCTGGAAAAGTCGACGGGAGAAGTCGGCAGTGCGGGTTGGGTGGGGAGTGCCGGGAAGGGGGGGAGGGAGGGGAGGGGAGGTAGGGAAGGAAGAGGGAGAAAAGGAGGGTGTAAGCACATAGATGATGTTGTGTTGACTGGCGTCTTGCATCACCCCTCTTATTATTATTATTATTTTAATTTATTTATTGTTATTACTACTAATATTATTGTTATTACTACTAATGTTATTGTTATTATTACTACTGGTATTATTATTATTATTATTTGCAAAGAATGATGTTTTCTTCTCGTCTATTTTCAAGTCTTGTTGCAGGCTTCAGACAGCAGCCTGATGCTTTCACAAGCTAAGGGCCTCGTTCCACCACTCACCAAATGTGCCAAAAGAGAATGAATCATTCGCTAGAACATGGAAAGGTACACTGCCATATTTTTTTTCTTTTTTGTGCATGTGGTGACTTGTGGAGGGAGGCCCTTAACTTTTGGAAATGTGCGGTGGACAATGCATGATTCTGTTTAAGCCTGTTTGGAAGCAATTTGGCCATGGCTTTTCACTATTCTCTCTCTCTCTCAAAAGCACAACCTGGACATTTCCTCTCTCTCTCTCTCTCTCTCTCTCTCTCTCTCTCTCAAAAGCACAACCTGGACATGTCCTCTCTCTCTCTTTCTCTCTCTCTCTCTCTTTCTCTCTCTGCTTTTTTTTTTTTTTTCTCTGCTTGTTTTTCTTTCTTTTTTTTTCTCACTCTTACCCTCTCTCTCTCTCTGTGTCCGTCTCTTGCTCTCTTCCTCTCTTTTTCTCTCCCCATGCGCTGGACATTTTGCTTGGTGTTTGCAGGCGGACATTTATGACGACAAAGACCAAGCACGAAAGGAGGAAATTGTGGCGCTAGGTGGGCAAGGTCTAGGGGGGCAGACTGTGTTCAGCGCATTTTATGACAGGATGAAAGAGGTATGCAGTTGGGCCAACATTTCCAGTCATGCAGATTCATTGCACCCGGTCGGTTTTCTTCGTTTTCAGACACATTCTCCCGTTGTTGCTGTTAGCCCCTTGGAAAGGGGTTGGTTGGTTGGGGGGGGGCGTACATGTAAATTAAGGGCCCATCAGGATGAGGTAGACACTCCGTGAAATCCTCACTCACTCTCGAGCAAGGCACTCCAGCCCGGCTTCACCCGAATAGAACGCCCGGTCATTATAGCTGTATTCGGTGCAACTTTCAGTCCAGATACGGCTTTTATTATTCCTGCGTTCTATTCGAGTGAGTACAGCAGGGTCTTGAGTAACCAAAAAATTAAAAGAAGAAAATATCTTGGTTCACAAAAAAAGAAAGAAAGAAAACCTTAAAATCTTAGCCCACAAAAGGAAAGAAGAAAACCTTATAAGTTAAAACCTTAAAACGTTGAGTCACAGTTCAGGTACGGACTGTGACTTACCCATTAGCTGCATCTTAGCCCACAAAAGGAAAGAAAAAAACCTTAAGACCTGAAAACCTTAAAACCTTAGTTTAGGGACACTTGACTGACCCATTAGCTGCTGATGGCACGACCGATCCTGGAAAGGCAGCCCAATGGCCCAAAAAGAGTGCCAAAGCTTTTGGGGTGTACTACCCCTTCTTCTGAATCAGCAGCTCCCACCCAGTCTGTGGTAATAGCCTGTTTGAAGGGGTACTTAGCCTCAGATTGAACTTTTTTTTTTTTTTTTGGGGGGGGGGGGGGGGGGAAGGTGCTCCCTTTGAAGAGTCTCCTCCGCGTAAACAAAACAAAAAAAAGGGAGATCAGAATTCTTAAAATGTTTCCTTCGGGATGCTGCACCGAAGAAGAGAATGAAATCGTCGGTCCAAACGAGGGTCCAAATGAGGAGAAGCTGCATCTGGGACTGGCATAGATGCGTGCTGCCTCCCACCGGCGTCGAAACAAGGGTGGGACAATTCACAATGCAAAAATAGACGTTGGAGGTCCTCCGTCCGCGTCCCAGCGCACAGACTGCTCACGGGAGAGGCCCTGAAAAGACCTTCGGGCGCACTATCGTTTTCCCCCGAACAGAACACACCCTCATTTTGGCTGTATCGGACCGGAAAGATCACTTCTATTCATTCATTATCAGGGTGTATTATCTTCGAGGGAAGACAGTAGCATGCGGTGGGAACGAACAGCCAGATGGGCCCACCGATTGCGAGGAAAAAAACTGGCATACATATTTTTGAACTAGTGCAAAGCAAATCCACCATTGTCTTCCCCCGAACACAACGCACCCTCTTGTTGGCTGTATTGGGCCCGAAATATTACTTGTATTCATGCACCCTCATGTTGGCTGTATCGGGCCGGAAAGATTACTTGCATTCATTCATTATCAGGGTGTGTTCGACAATTAAATGTTTATGGCAAGACGTCTGTATATCGATTCTTTTTTTTTTTTTTTTTTTAATGCCCCTTCTGTTCTGGGGGCCTAAGTCCAGTTGCTCATCACCGGCAAGCATGTTTTTACATCTGAAAAGAGGAGCGGGGGAGAACAGACAAGACAGAGGACCAGCCCGTCCCTTGTGGCCCTAGACGCCTGGCAAGGGGGGACTGTTTTGGGGCAACCCTCCCCCTTATCCTTAGCCTTTCGGGGGGTTACCTCACGCAGTAGGGCAGCCCTCAGATAGGCGGGGTGCGGGGGGGGGGGGGTGTGCTCCTAACAGTTCCTCAGTCCGCTTAGCATCCTGTTACCTGTTTCTAATATCCCTCATCACACATAGACCCTACATTACCTATATATCTCTAAAACCTATATCTAGTTCCAGCCTATACCCCTGTAGTTGTGTGTCCACCTCTACCTAGCTGTTCACCCAGATCGTGTTCCGCTTGCCCTCTACATCTATACAAGCCATGATAGGCCCTCCTACCAGGTCCTCAGGCCGCTTAGCATCCTGTTACCTGTTTCTGATATCCCTCATCGCACATAGACACCCAATTTCGGGTTCTGCTTACCCCTGGCATTTATACAAGCCATGATAGGCCACAGTCCACCCACTTTTTTTTTTTCTTTTTTTTTCACAGTCACCCACTTGTTTTAGTGATGTGTCATATTTTCTGCCTTTCTACAGTTTCTTTTAGTATCTCCCGCCCACCCCTCGATCCCCTCACCACCCCATTCCCCCTACACCTCTTCAGCTCCCTTTACTACCCGCTCCCCCTCGCCCCGTATTCCCCCCCTACACCTCTTCCCCTACCCCCCCCTCCCTCCTAATTCCGTACTATATCCTCTATACTAGTTCTAGTGTCCACCAGGTTTCGTCACTCCTCCTACTCATCTAACCCTTGTACAAACTGCTTAACTGCCTTTCCTATCCTTCCTCAGGCTCGTCCTCCGCCTCCTCGAGCCAGGGCGCATGCCGCATCAAGGCGGGACCGACTGCATATGGCCCGTCCGTGGGTCTCAAATAACCAGTTGTGGGTATGGTGCCCCCATCTCGCCCAGAAGCCTTCCACCTTCTGTGATCCTGAATGGTTGCATCCATGCAAGTCCGCCTGAAGGGCAGTGCCGAACCCCTCCAAAGCCCTTTTCCTTATACACCTGCAGAGGGGCAGCCGTTCCTCACCTGCAGAGGGGGAGCCGTTCCCTGTTGATCTCTCTTGTTCCGCAGGGTCCATAATGCCCACGGCACAGCCGCTTGCAGAGTCTCTGCCGCCATCATAGTTTGCAGGTTTGCCCTGTCCACTTTTATGAGCGTCCCGAAAAGAATAGCTGTTTTATGAGTGTCCTGAAAAGAATAGCTGCATAGTCTGTTTCTGTGACCTCTAGCTGCGGGGACTTATCAGCGAACTCCTGTGCCCACCATTCCCAAAAGGCCCGAACCGTTGGGCATCGCACAAACAGGTGGGGCATAGTTTCCGTTTGTCCACACCCCCTGCGGCACTGCTCCGATCCTTATGTCTACCTTTATTTGCCATCCATTGCGCCGGGGGGGGGGATTGCCAAGTGATAAATTTGCCACAGCAACCCCGCCTGCTTCTGGGCCGGCAATGCAGCAGCTAAGATAAGATAGCACATTGCTGGTTCCATCTCCGCTGAGTCCACCTGCTGACATAAGCGTCCGGTATCTGGTCTCTCTTGGCCCACCGATTCCTCAGTTCTTCGCGGATGTGTATCGGCTCCAACAAGGAGTTGTATATATTTTCAGTGGTGAGCCCCTGGATCGGCACTGCTTTCCTTAGCATCTTCTGTGCCGCCCACTTCCACTCCCGCGGATCCCATGTCAGGTCCCGGCATCGGGATGCTATCCGGCACGGTAGGTATTTTGCTTCTCACCCTTCCTCCCCCCTTCACATACCGATACTGTTTCGATTCCGTCCTTTGAGATCTGCAGTTCCCTTTGCACATCCCCTGACTCAGCCTCTTGCAGGCCCCCCCCCAACCCTTCGTAACCCATGTCCACCCTCCACCAAGTGACCCGTAGCCTTCTCCCGTCCAGCATCCGCTCCACCCTGTATATGCTGGCTGGCCTCGGGTCCCCCTTCCATCTTCACCCATTGTCCCAGGGTGATTCCATCCTTTCTCAACATTGCCATCCAATGGGGGGGGGGGGGGGGGGGGTAGCCTCCCTGGGTTCCTTCAGCCTTTGCCGACGCTTCACCCTGCCCTGCAGGGACTCCAGCAACTCTTCTTCCTTCCGCCAGTCCTTGCGAACTCCGTCCCATAAGTTTTTTGTCTTGCTTTATAGATCCCTTGTACAGCCCTGGGTTCCTTCAGCCTTTGCCGAGGCCAGCCAGCACCAATGGGGGGGGGGGGGTAGCCTCCCTGAGTTCCTTCAGCCTTTGCCGACGCTTCACCCTGCCCTGCAGGGACTCCAGCAACTCTTCTTCCCTCTGCCTGTCCCTGCGAACTCCGTCCCATAAGTTTTTTGTCTTGCTTTATAGATCCCTTGGACAGCCCATTTCCAACCACAGGCCTCTCTTGGGCTCTGCCATGGCAAGGGTTCCCCAGCAACATCACATATATACCTGTTTCCGAACAGCAGCTGATTGTAGACGGAGTCCGCGGTTTCTGGCATCCGACATTGCACCTGCACCTTTCTCCACCGAGCCAGTTTTGTTTCTTGTCCTGCATTCGCCAGTTAGAGGAAAGAATCAGTCTCATCATTTAGGACAGCCTGTCACTTGGAGTTCCTGCCATGTATCTGACTGCGACTCTGCCCAGATTCAGTTGAAAACGTCCTAGTGTGAGTACAACCTTGGATGGCAAAAAGAAGAGCTGGCCGGCTACTCTGCATAAATGACTGTTGAAGGTTTCAGAGTGAATGAGCAAGGGAGATATGAAGGCGGCAGAGGACAGGGCTCATATTTATTTTGTGTGTGTGTGTGTGTGTGTGTGTGTGTGTGTGTGTGTGTGTGTGTGTGTGTGTGTGTGCGCATGCTAAACTCAGGTGCACAAAGAAGGATATCCGTGATAGACTGTTTTGTCAGACTTTTGCCTACTTATTACTCACGACATTGAAGCTCCCAATTGGCCAAGTATGCATTTTGACTGATGGATAAGGACATGCCACCTCCTTGCCCAAAGTCAGCCTCTCTCTCTCTCTCTCTCTCTCTCTCTCTCTCTCTCTCTCTCTCTCTCTCTCTCTCTCTCTCT